CAGTGCGGCGTGCGTGCGTGCAGTTGCGTGCGTTTGCATTCGTGCGGTGCCGCGGACCCTGTGTGGTGGATGTGTGTGTGTTGTGTGCGTGCGTGCCGTGCTTCGTGCCGTGCGTGCGTGCGTGCGTTGCGTGCGTGCGCTGAGGTTGTGCGTATGCCGTCTGCCATCTTCGTGCGCGACCGTGCCCTACCTTGTGCGTTGTAGTGTGTGGGATGTGGGCTTTCGTACTTGCGATGCTGTGCTGGGTGCTTGGGGTGTGTGGTGTTGTGCCGGACATGGGGAGACGGTGTTGTGTGCAGCCTAAAAGTGAATCGTGTGTGGTGTGGTGTGTGTCCAGGTGCAGGCGCTGTGATGTTGTGCTGTGTGACGGAGAGTTGTGTGTGTGAATAAGATCGAGCCGAACCAAGTGCGCGGAGCCGAATTTGAATAAGGCGTGGGAGTTGGCGTGCAGTCAAATGCAAAGTCAGTGTACCGGCGCTTTGCGTTGCAAGCGCTGCCGTGTGTGTGTCCATCCAGAGCCATGATGTGAGTGTGTGCATCACATTGTTAACATTTCACTCGGCACTCTCTATCCACGTGTTGACACTCCGCGTCGTCTAACACTCGCCAGATGGACGCCTGTCACGTTAGAACCTCGCTCCCACAGGTTTAAGTCGTGGAGCGATTACGTCGCGGTCTACTCGTGACATTGTGGGTAACATCTTGCCCTTGGGCGCAAAACGCATACGCCTATCCACCGACGACCCGGTGTAGGTACGTGTAGAGAGGGGGGAGTAGGCAGCGCAGTATGTGGTGAGGTAATGTGTATACTGTGTTTGCAGGCACCCGAGGGAGAGAGTCAGCCCAGCACCGAGGTGGACCTCTTTATATCTACAGAGAAGATCATGGTTCTCAACACAGACCTGCAGGTATGCACCTATCCATCCCTCCCTCTCTCTATCCACCACATCTTTCCTCTAACCATCCCTCTTTCCTATCCACCCCTTCATTCTCCTATCCACCCCACCCTCCTATCCATTCATTTCTTTTATCCACCTCACCGTCCTCTCTATCGCACCCTGTCTCTATCCACTCAACCCTTCTCCTATCCATGTTTTTCTCTTGTTGAACAGCTGTTCACTTGTTACTTGCATGAGATAATGATGACCACGCGCTACGCACGATATCTTACATCGCTGAGTTGTTCACTTGTTGAATAGTTGTTCCCTTGCTAAATGTTCGCTTGTTACTTGCAGGAGATAATGATGAACCACACGCTACACACGATCTTCATCCCTGAGTTGTTCACTTGTTGAATGTTCGCTTGTTACTTGCAGGAGATAATGATGGACCACGCGCTGCGCACAATATCTTACATCGCTGACATAGGGGAGCTGATCGTCATCATGGCGCGACGGCGCGTGATGACCGACGAGAAATCCGGCAAGGTCGTCGTAGGTCAACAGGCAAAAATGATCTGCCACGTGTTCGAGTCAGAGGAGGTGAGTGCCAGTAGGGGGCGCCGGCGTAGGTGCTTCGTCCACCCGCGGATCTCTTACGTTAAGCCAGGGGCCCATTGTCAGAAACAAAATTAGTCTTTACATTAGTCTTAACAATAACTTGTTCTCCTAGACCGATGACAGAAACATGGTAATGTTACGAGTTTCTTGTACGCAGTGTATAGAGGTTTGCATGGTCTACGAGAAAAGATTAACGTTAAGACTCGTGCAGAGACTAAGTTTGTTTTTGACAATGGGACCCTGATATACACGCACTTGTTTTTCATCATGAATGTTTCGATTTATGTGCTGCAAGTGACCATCAATTTAATGTTAATCAGGTCCATGGTTCTCCCCACCTTAGTGGTAAAACTGTTACAGCTAAATGGCACTAGCAATGCAAACGTAATTTTTTTGCCAATACAAAAAACGCAAGTAAATATTCTGAGCCCCCCTCCATGTGCTAAATTGTAAGTAACCCACACTGCTGTGCATGTTTACTCCACATACTGAACATACACACAAGCACGCGCGTGCCATATTCATGCACTGCTACCCATAGACATGCACGCGATGTTTACCTCTGACTAGCTACTATAAGCTTGAGCCATTGTTCTGCTCACCCGAGTGCCTGAGTAACGTGAGCGTGCCTATACACCTACGACTGTGTCTGCCTGTCTGCCTGCGAGGGTGGGCATGAATTTGCTGCTAAACTAGTGAGTGTTCCTGGCTCTAGTGTTCTGCGTCGTCTGTTGTCCTTATTGTCATCTGCAGTTGTTCCTTGCTGCTACATTCTTGTCTGTTGCACGTGTTCCTATCATCTGCAGACGTTCCTATCATCTGCACATGTTCCTATCATCCACAGATGTTCCTAACTGCACATGTTCCTATCGTCTACAGATGTTCCTAACTGCACATGTTCCTATCGTCTACAGATGTTCCTAACTGCACATGTTCCTAT